AAATAAAGGATAAAGTGAATAGTACCAGGATTGACTTTTTAATGTAAAAATGTGATTTTTCGTTAAAGTGAACAGTATCGGGAGATTTTCGTTAAAGTTCCCTTCATTTAAAGGTATAAAGTTATAGAAACAGGGTTATCACCCTAAGATACATTGATCGAATTGGGTGAAATATATATGTTAATATATTTATACTTATTAGTTTCTCATGTCGTTACTGCTAAAATTCATCTGTTAATTTGTGTATGTAAAAGTACTATTAATTTGGATTAAGAAATGATTTGTATAAATTTCAACTTACCAAATTTCCATTCATAAATGATTTGTTTAAATTTCAACTTATCAAATTTCCATTCATATATGCTCAGCTTGCCCACAGTTCATGTCAGTTTCAGTTTGTCCAATCTAAGCCCTATCCCATAATTTAGGGCTCGGTTAAAAGTACTTTTAAAATGGTTAAAAGCGTTTTTGGTGAAAATGTTGGATTAATTCTTAGTAAAAATGCAAGTGAAACATGGAAAAGCACTTGAAGTGCTTCATATAAGAAGTACATAACTAACGCTTCTTGCATGAGTCACTTCAGTGCTTTTGGAATAAAAAAATCCTTTCTCCAACAACGCTTTTAGTCATTTTAAAAGCGATTTCAAACGATTCTTTAGTGCAATTGCAATAGTCTGCTTGTACAAGAAAATGCATTGTTATTTTGTTTTTTTTTATTGGAAACAAGAAAGTGATTGTAAACATTTCAATAATAAAAATTAATTAATTTTTGTATTACACCATATCCATTGTGTTTGCTGAAAATGAATCGTAAACTTTTCAAAAATTTATTTTATTTTTGTATGGGAACATTATTTTATTCATAGTATTCATTTTATTTTTGTCTGCGCTTTAAGCATTGTGACATGTGATTAGTGAAGGGCAAGTCGATGATCTTTAATGCACGTTATATAATTACATAAGATTACCAGCCTAATGCTCCAATATGTAGCACATACAAGACGTCGGCATAAGAGGATGATGATTTCTTATTAGTTGGTGATTAACACAGAAGTACTATTAACAATTAACACATGATTACTATTAACATGAATTGTTAGAGATGATTAGCACCTACCCCACGTCATTAATTATAGAATTTGAATTAATAAACCCACGTGTTAACGAGGTAGAAAACAATATTTACTTACTTCGTGGCAATAACAAATTATGTCGCAAGTTATTAAATTAATTAAGTGGCTGCTTGCTGTTGTAATCAGAACTTTTGGTGATTGATACATCAGCAAACTCAAGTGTAATTTTTAAGTTGATGGGATGATCCGATATGATAATTGATTAACTTCACTTGCCTAATTAGGAAAAAAATAATGAATATATGAAACTGGTGTTGGAAATGTTCCAAGTGGATGGGGGTGGCAATCCAAAACGTGAGTGAATATAGTCTATATTATCCCGCTCGTAAATGCATTGTTTTTAGACAAACCTACCAAATCAAATCCACTAGGCCTCCAAATGAGAACTTTTGTGCAACACTAATGTCAATGTAGCATTATTTCAAGTCGAATATAAACTGATTAGGAATGTCAGCTTAGCTAGGGTTTTCTGTCCAAAGGCACTTGGGGACCCCTCTACATTTGATTTTAGAGTACATGCATGCTTAAAGATTTGCTGAGAGATGTTATTGAAAACCTGACCTCGGGGTGGGTTACAACTCGTAACTACACTTGAGTGACAAATCTTTTACAAAAAAATAGCATTTTTTCCGAAAGAACGCATTATAAGTTTTTTTAGAGTCTCAATAATAAATTTCTTCACGAAAACGTAAAGTCAAAACGCAAATAATATATAGCGGTACTTGTAACACTTCATGATGTGGATATATCATATCTTTGCATGATATGGATTAGATTGGATAATGGTAGTCGGGCGCCTCCTATTTGCCATATAAAGTAAAAAGGCAAAATGATGAAATCAATTTGGTTGAATGTCACAGGCTCAATTTATATTTTGCAAAAATTTCCTCCACTTTTGACTGATTATACGCACATGATTTAATCTTAGACCTCTCTTCTTTTCTTTTCTTTTTTCTTCCAAAAAAAATTATAAAATAAGAGCAAGCACAATTTCGATAGTGAAGGTTTTCATAGATTCAATTCAACTGGTTTTTGGGGTCCCATTATTTCTGTGACTTTAAAAACCTAACATTCCCTTTGATTTTCCTGGTGGAAATATGACCCAGTGTAGGCCCTCCTTTTTCTCTTCTTCCTCGAGTCATGGCATGCTACTACTTAATCTCGAAGGTTCATGCATGAAATCTTGATGGGGTCCTTTAAATTTGGATACTTTCTTCCTTTCTTGCAGGCTGCAGCTTTATCAGATTTTGGATGCACTCATTAGGGTACCCAAGTTGGGAAATCATTAGGGTTTCCCAAGCAGGTTCATCACTAGGGTTTCCACGTAGTCATTAGGGTTCCCACGCAGGTTAAATTTGAGATTTGGTTTTTATTAGATAAATGCTAAGTAAACTCTCTTTAAAGTTGAACTCTTCGTAAAATAGTGCAAAAAACGTGAGGTGGCAGAAAATCAACGGAGAATACCACTTTTGAGACATTTCTCTTTTAATTAGGGGTGTGCTATCCACACACCCCAAATTACTTCCCACACATCCCTTGTTAATTTTTGTCCGTTAATCTTCTTCAAATCATCTGATCCGACGGCCGAAAATTAGAAGGGTGTATGATAAGTAAAATGAGATGTGTGGATATCACACCCCTTTAATTATTGGTAATGATTTAACATGGTTAATCATGCAATTTAAGGGTCTTATCAGCATTACTTTTCGATTATCTGCAAGCTTCGCTGACATGTAGCTATGCACGCGTGATGACATGGCAACAAAAAGGAGATGTAATCTTCATCATATCACGATTGTAATTAAGTTTTATTTTTCTTGCAAACTATGGTAGTGTCAAACCATCGTCAAAGATACTAATCAATGTTAATCACTTTAGTGGACGTGGGAAATCTCATGTATAAGCACAAGAAAATTATCTTATGATTTTACATGTTATGTTATGTCATGTTTTTAAGAGTATTATTAGGGACGTCTTTGACATTTGGGTTTTGTACAAGTTTTACAAAATATGGGTTCTCCTTAAGATAGTATTCCAAGATTTCATTTTTGGACAATGTAATTCATGCCATATTCAACTAACAAAAAATTTCAACTAATTTTTTTTTTCATGATTTAGGGTAAACCCTTGAAAAAGGAGCAAGGATGAAGAGGTAGAGGAAGACGCTTTGTGTTTATGTGAGAAAATAATACACAAGTTAATTATATTTTTATTGTTTAATTGTTAGATAAATGTAGAAACCTAATATCTTGTATAGTCATATGTTAACTGAAAACTTTTTATTGGGAAATATGTAATATATAGGAGGATGAAAAATTATGGGGCCTTCCAAAATTTGGGCTCTAAAATTGGAGTCCTGTTCCGATGAAATGTTTGCACGTCTTCAATGTTGTCATTGAAAAGTACAAATTACTGATAATTTAAAACATACAACTAAATAAGACTTTAAATTTCAAATTTACTGTTTGACAACGTAAAAGTGTCTAAAAAACTATACTGTCATAGAAGTAGTTTAGGTTGGATTGATACTTGATAAAGTCGTGTAAATAGCATGTGCATTCAATCAAAATCTGAGACTAACTTCTAAAGATATTGGCAAAGCTCAAATCTTTCATGCTGGTTTTGATTGGCGTTTGGAGAGAGAGAGAGAGAGAGAGAGAGAGAGAGAGAGAGAGAGAGAGAGAGAGAGAGAGCTCCACCACGGCTAAGGAAAAAAAATAGTATCTCATGTTGATACAAAGGATTGCAGATGGAGGAGTTGTCTTAATCTAAAAAATCACACTCGGCAGAAAGCGAAGAGCCTTCTTTTTTTCTCCAAAACAGTTGATGGTACTCAAAGAAGTTACACCGGCCCACTTTCTGACTGTCCAATGAGGTAAGAGGTGGACATACATAATGAATCTTCGGATGTCACCATAACACATCTTGGACGATAGGCAGTGCTATGCGTTTAACTTTCTCATATTACATTATATTATTCCTCTGAAATGTTATAGTGACGTTTGAGGTGTGCATATGTAGGTCTCTCAAAAAGAGGAATAAAGACTTGCATGAAATAGGGAGGTCAAATTAACTGTGCCTGTCATGCGCAAGTGAAGTTTAGGGGTGTGGTGCAAGTCTTTCTAAAAAATGATTTGCATAAAATAAGGACACAAAAGTGATGGTTTTTCAAACCAATTATGAGTATATGCCGTTCGGGTGTGCATGTAAGTCTCCTTAAAAATAGGAATTACATAAACTTGTTAAAAAAATGTCAGTTCTTTTTTAAATCCAAGTGTCAATGGAAACAAAAAGCGAGATCATTATGAAGACAATGGCCTTGTCAAAGAGCACTCGAGCATATTCTGACACACACTCCTTCAAACTCATATTTCACACGGCACATTTTGGATGGTCAGGAAGAGATTGAAATGCTAATATATGCTAATAAGATGGGAAATAATGTAATCAAATCATAAACGCACCACCACCAATCTCAATTGTTTTGATTCATCCTTATTCAGCAGCCCTCAGAAGAAACTCGTTTGAAAGTATTTTTAAAATGATTAGGTGAAATACTTTTTGTACCAGTTCTTAGTAAAAAATAAAGGGAACTTTAACGAAAAGCTCTAAGTATTGTTCACTTTAACGAAAAACCACATTTTTACACTAAAAAATCAATTATGATACTATTCATTTTACCCTTTATTTTGTTCTTTTGGTTAGAACTCAAAGTTTTCAAACCCTTTTCATTAGTTTTCCTAAAAATAAATAAATTCTAAAGAAGCACTTCAAGTACTTTTAGGACCCAAAAATATTTTCTCTAAAAACGCTTTTAGCATTTTTGAAAGCACTTCTAAACGAGCCTTAAATTTATAAAATAAAATATAAAAAAACTAACTTCCATATTTATTAAATAATTCGAAAATTTCCCTCATTCGTTCCACAGATATATCAAAATTCTGCTCAAATGTGCTTGTTACAAAATGGGGCAATTGGATGCTTCAATTTCACCAGAACAGTAAGACAAATATAAAAGTGAATAAATTTAAATAAGAAAAAAAAAACTTGTGCCTTGCAGCCATCCAAATGATTTATCTCTCTTCTAATTTGGCTTAGCCCTGTTCTGATGCTTATGGGGATGGTCCTGACCCAAGGACGACAAGAAAACACGCACCGGGCATGTATGCCAGTTTCAGTTCTATCTTGAGAATTGCTGGGGAAGAAGGCCTATTCGTCCTTGTTCTGGCCATCACCGAAAGCCAAATCGAATATCTGATTGTAGTCCTCTACAAAGTGAACATCAAGACCTTCTTTTACATTAGGGGCAAGCTCGTCGAAATCCCTCCTGTTGGCTGCAGGAAATATAATGGTCTTCACTCCTCCCCTCCTCGCTGCTATAGTTTTCTCCTTAACCTAAATTGTATGCAAACATGAAGTTTCGATGAGTTTGAGATGCACCACGACGTACACAAAAGCATTACAGCAAACTTCGATAAAATTTCCTAAATAGAGAATATAATGCAACTTAAACTCTTAATAAATGTCTGATCGCTTAACCTACCCCGCCAATTGGAAGGATCTTCCCAGTTAGTGTTACTTCACCGGTCATTGCTAAATCTTTCTTGACAGGCTTCTTCATGGCAATGGACAGCATGGATGTTATCATGGTGCAACCAGCACTAGGTCCATCTTTTGGTGTGGCCCCAGCAGGAACATGTAGATGAAGCTTGGAATCGGCAAAGAAGGCATTGCTTGGATCTTTATCGAGCAATATCGCTCTTGCAACTGTGTGAGCAATTTGGGTACTTTCTTTCATAACATCTCCAAGTTGACCAGTTGCATGAAGGCCTCCTTTCCCCTCTCCTTCCTCAACCTGAGTGGTCTCTATGTACAAGGTGGAACCGCCCATGGCAGTCCAAGCAAGACCCATCACAACTCCAACCGGAGTCTGATCATAGAGGCGTTCAGCATGGAAAACAGGTTTGCCAACAAAATCAGACAAGTTTGGTTCGTCAACCAAGATTTTTTCAACTGTTTTTGTTCCTTCACTTTCCTGAATTTTCTCAGTCTCTTTCGCATCCTGTAAAGACGAGTACAACCATTTAATCCTTCAGTTGGCAAACACATTCGGATAGCAGAAACAGATGAAATGGGATTGAATTGAGGGGCAGTTTAACAAGCTTCTTTAAAATAAGAATCATCTTAAACGCTCTCAGGTTGGAGGTTCATAAAGATTGCTAATATTGCATGAAGAAAAATAATTCTTAAGATTGTACTCAAGTTGCACCATTACTCATACAGCTTATGAAGTAACCTCTACCCGGTAACTTTATATGTTATCACATACCTTTGAATCCGTAGGTTCATCAGTATCTGCAACCTCAACTTCACCAACTGCAGGTTCGGCTGGGAGATCCTTCTCTAAGGATCCAGTTGCAGTCTGGTCCACGCTTTGATCTACTTTATCAATATCTTCTACTTTGGTTTCAGAGGTCTCTACAACCTGAGCTGCAAGAACTCCAGGTTCGACTGGGAGATCAATCTGACTAGTGGGAGACTTTTGGTCAGCAACTGCAGGTTCATCTGATGCTCCTTGTCTAACAAGTTGCAGAGCTATCTGCCAGGGCATAAAAGATAGGTTAAAGAAATAAGGTCACAAATTTGTTCCACATTTTCAAGCAGTAGCTCTACAGACCTAAACTTTAAATCAAGTGGATAGAGTTTTATGGTTCGTCATATAGAAAAGGTTCAAGTTTGTGGTAGTGATCTAAATCTAGATATTGGCGACAAACCTTGCGGTAGATCTTTTCTATGTGCTTTTGGAGGTTCCTAACTCCTGCTTCGCGGCAATAATTTTCTATAAGAGCAAGAAGAGCTGCATTGGTCACTTCAACCTGTTCAGGTTCAATTCCACATGCTTCACGTGTGGTCTTCTCCAAATAATCTCTAGCAATGTGCATTTTTTCATCAGTAATATACCCAGCTATGGAAATAACCTCCATTCTATCCAAGAGAGGATTCGGTATATTCTCCACAACATTTGCTGTACAAACAAACAGAACCTGTAACAAAATTTCCAAAGGTAGGATCAAGTTAAGAACAAGAGGAATAAAAAGAAACCATCTGTAATCCTTATTACATTTCATCCATGCCGCAAGGCCCGCAACTTATATTCTAAAAGACATTAATTATACTACTCTAACCTTCACACAAATATGTCAGATTGCTTGAAAATTGCAATTATACTACCAGCAAAAGTAGGGACATCAGAATGCCTAAAAATCACATATTAAAAACTAACCTTTGACAGGTCAATTGGAACATCAAGATAATGGTCAAGAAAATTAGCATTTTGCTCTGGATCAAGAAGCTCCAACAAAGCACTTGCAGGATCACCAGCATGCCCCCTTCCCAACTGCCACAAGACAAGGCAAAGTTAAACAACCATGAACTTATTGCAAAACTCAAAGCACTTCTGGTTTTGTAAATAATCATTTTAGAAACCTTTCCTCACTCTAAACTACAAAAGAGACCGACAATATGATGTCTCTCAGGTACAATATGAATCAAGCCAACCAGCCATAATATATTACCTTGTCAATCTCATCAATCAGAACTAAAGGGTTAGCTGTTCCCACGTTTTTAAGGCATTGTACCATCTTTCCTGGCATAGCACCAATGTAGGTCCGACGATGCCCCTGGATGTGATTTTAGAAGTATATAAGGAATAGCTCATGTTGTATAGTTGTTCTCAAAGTTTCGGTGCACAAAGCTTGCTAAATACCTTAATTTCAGCGACATCGGATAATCCTCCCACAGAGAATCGGTAGAAATTACGGTTCAAGGCACGTGCAATTGAACGACCAATGCTGGTTTTGCCCACTCCAGGTGGACCAGAGAGACAAATGATTTTCCCTGTGATAAATATGCAGAATATCAATAATCCGCACTGCTATCATGAAAACTAGCACAGATTTGCAGCATCTTTTACAACCTTGGATATCAATATAAAATAAGAGTTAAATCAGTGCCTGAGAAACAAGATAAACAATGCAATGAGGCAATGCTCCTAAATCAAGGTAGACAATTGTGAAAGATGAAAACTATACCAACCTTGTGACATTCCTCTAAGTTTCCCGACGGCAATAAATTCCAATATCCTTTCCTTTACATCACTTAATCCATAGTGATCTTCATCAAGAATCTTTTGAGCCCGAAGAACATCAAAGTTCTCATCACTGCATTTGGGATTTGGATAAGAGAAGTTAGAATATTTAGAAATCTGCTAAAAAGTTAAAAATACAATAAGGACACATTACTTCAATTAAATAACAAAATAATGCTTACCACAAAATAATAAGAACAGGACAGTAACTCAAATAATATATCTTATATACCTATCAAATATATCTTTTTATAGTTTTTTTAACATTCTCACGCTAGTATCCATTATCCCATTTTAGATTTATATAAACGAATATTCATTACAGATATTCCTATCCAAGTATGGCATGGTGTTAAATTAACAATAAATGGCTTTATAATATAGTTCAAAGAGTCTAAACAGATTATCTTTCAGCATCCGAGCCACAAATATGACATCAATTATTGGAATGTCGATATCCTTCGCAATTTGATTAACTAAATTGAATAGTGCAAAAACCTGTAATTTCCCCATGGAATGGAAGTCAACCAATCTAGGTAATTACGCGTCACATTAAATTCACTTGAACTAGCCTCCAAAAGCTGCAGTTTTGTGAGCTCTTCTTCTATAACTTGCAACACATGAGGTGGGCATTTTTCCCTGTTTGGTTCAAGTCTCTCCCTGAACTTTGCTGCACCACAGAATCACAAAAATGATGCAGCCGTTACCTTCATGTATATGAACAATCAATATTTAGAATAGATTATCAATGTTATCTACAAACATGCTTGAGTCACATTCAGATAAAAACTGATGTGAGAAAGCACCAACAGCGGCCATGATGTGCACATATTTGCAAACATGGTTGCGAAACTTAATGTTATACAAAGTTGGTCTTAGTCCCGATTGTATGCATCATGTGATCACACAATGCAATACATAAACAACGTTTGTCTTACTAAACATCTATAACAATATAGAGAAGGCCAAACATATATTTGTTTTCGACTTCATGGTAATGTAACAGCCTTTGACTTTTGCAAAGGCAGGGAAAACAATACACACACACACACACACACAATATCTAGGTTTGCGAGAGTGTTAAACTTAATAAAATAAAAATATTAAAAAATAATACTAACCAGAAAGTGCTGTTTTGTCATCCGCCTCCAATCCCAGTTCCTGCATCATGTCAAGCCCCGTAAGGTTACATAATCCCCAAGAATGAAATAAAGGAATGGATATAAAACCCCTCGTAAAGAAAACAGATCACTGAGAAATCCTCATCCACATCCAAAGGGGTAATGGCATAAAAAATGTCTGGATGGTTGGAGCGGGGAGACAAACACCTTTTTTATTGCTTTAAGCTGCTCATTCAACAAGTAGCGGCGTTGTTCACCACTTATCTTCTCTTCAATTGCCTTTGCAATAGATTCCTAGATATAACAAAAAAAGGAATTAACAAAAGAGAATCAAACCAGTGGAGAATATATGCTACAAAACAATGACATACTGGCATGTCATACCTGAATCTTGCTGATTTCTATCTCTTTCTTCACTAGTTCCAGTGTGAGCTTTAAACGTTTATAAACCTGAGCAAAAATTGCACAGTTAAAAAGCATTGTCGATATGATAAGATTGAGTATAAATTCACATCAATCATCCCAGTTACGATTTGATAACCTATGCTTACATCTAGCTCTTCAAGCACTTGCTGACATTGAAACTTGTTTGCACCAGATATAGCCGCTCCAAAATCTGCTAACCTTGGAAAATTAAAATCACCTATATGCTGCACAAATATAAATAGGAAAAAAAGGTTTCACATGTTGCAAGCAAATAAATTTATTTTGAAGTACAGACGCATTCAAAATGAAAGATGCCTTAAATTTCACAGATTATGAGAAACTGAACCTGAGTGTATGTTTGAACATGATCCCTCCAAAGGGAACTAGTCTTCAGAACGTCTCTTAAAGTCGATATAACCTCAAATGACGTTGCCTTTATGACATCATCATCCTTGTTATAGGGTTTGTCCTGAAATACAAAGTATAAACCCATAAGAAAAAGAGAGAAAAATCTACTTTATATGTGGAACCTCCAAAAGTAAACAAACTGAATGGGTAAAAATTGAGACAAATGTGGACCTTGAGATGGTCAACTTTTACAGTCAGAGGATCCTCCTCAACCTGCAGACAAGCCATAAGTTTGCTTAGTTTAACTATACCAATTTGAATTATAAATGTGTTTTGAGCGTGTGTTTGCACATGCAAAATCTACAGGCACATACTTAAATACTGAAAAGTTTCACTAGACTAAAATGTTTTAATCAGTTCAATGAAACGTGAAAATGAACCGCGAGACATATATGAGGTGATGAGCCAAAAAAAGATGCTAAATATGCCTGCTAAAGCCATTGACCAAAAGTTCATGCTTACTGATTAGTTTCCCTCACCATCTCTGTAATTCGAAGTCGCCTATGACCAATTAGAACAACTTGGTCCCCTTGAATGCTTGAAATCTGAAATATGAAGACAACAGGTATAAAAATTCATAAAAACTGAAGGAAATTCTACTGTATGTCCAGTTAATCCACAGAATTAAGGGCATATGGAACTTGGGAGTAAACTAGATACCTGGGCAAGAGTACCGACTTCATGCAGACGGTTAAATAACTCCTTCCCTTTTAAGTCTGTTATGTTTTTATCTGTTTCAGAACCTGAGACCACACTAGGGTCAGTCCCTGGCTCATCCTTGAGAAGAAAAGCACCAGCATATGGAGCATGCCGTTTTCGGCTTTCTTGTAAAGCTGCCAACAACTTAGGATCCTACATCAGAAGCGACACATTAGTTAGTTCAGTAAGTCAAATGTTGTATAACACCTTGCAGTAACTGCAATTCAAGAATCGACCCAACAACCAAAATGCCAACTTGATTTTCACTGTATCCAATAGTCTCATGTACCTTCACATAAATTGGCATGTAGAACCCTGGAAAGAGCGGACGATGCGGCAATGGCAACGCTAAAACCTGACCGAAAGGTAATAGGAAACAAAAATAAATGGATAGATAGGGTATATAATTCATGAATCCATCATCCAACTTATCTGTTGGTTCAGAACACACAAAATTTCTGGCTTTCTACTTAACAAAGCAAAACACTTACACAAACAAACTTGAACAAACCATCCCAAGAACTAAAAACATCCTTAACAACACAAACACCAACATAAACTGAATTGCGAAATTTAAGATTACAATTCAAAAACACAACAATTAACAATAAGTTCCTATATCTTCATTTTCTCCTAATCCAATTAAACTATTTTAGCATAACCAAAAGCTCCAAATCCAAACCAACCGTTAGATAATCGTCGAGTCTCGGATTTGTGGGCACAATTGCCGATGAAGATTTCGACTCAGCGGCCTCTCCCTCTGCCTCGGCTTTCTTTACCTCGATTTCCGCCACCTGATCAGACCCATCTTTCCCGTCCGAGCAAAAATACGCTCGGCCAACCGAACTGGGCCGAGTCAACCCGGTGAGCGAGCTAATAACTCGGAGAAACGGCGAGGCGAGCTCGGTGGGCCCGGGACGGAGCCCCAAATTAGGACCCAGGCTGTGGATTCGGCCCTGGAGGCATGAGGAGGAAGAAGACAGAAGCTTCAGCATTTGTCTTTGGCAGCAAATCGATTGAAATTGTGGGAAAAATCGGAAATTGAATTTAGGGTTTAGGGTTTTTGGTAGCCCTAGCGGAGCAGTAGTGGGTTCGAGAGAACCGCCATTGTTGCGGAGCTTAAAACTCCTTGAAGCAAAAGATAGATATTGGGTTTCTTCAAGCGCTTGAATTTAAAGTTAAAGCCCTTCATAAACCCTTGTCGCTTGTACTTTCATGTGACGAAAATGCCCCTGCAGTTATGAAGAACTACATAAAGAATGGTGCGCGCAAAATGCACGATGCATCCAGAACCCCTGAAGTTTCCAGAGAAAATTTCTTCAAACTCTCCCGGTAAACAAACAGAACCTTCGGCTTCTCTGCTCCACACTCTGCCTCTGCGTCACCAAAAATCCTACCGTGCAGTCCTTCAACATTCCGCTCGTTTCGGAGCTGCTAGGGAAGCAGCACTGGTCGGAGCTCAAAACCCATCTCAAAGGCTCGAGCTTTGCCGCAGCTCTTCACCAGCTGTTCGGCTCCGGCGCCGACCAGAGCTAACTCTCAGGTGCTCAAAGATATGAGCTTTCTTAGATGGGTTCGTCCGAAACAGCAAAATGCATTCGATTTCTTTGATTTTTCACATGGTTTCAACTTTCAATGTGTATGTAGCAAACCATTTTTGTACAATTTCGAGTTCAATATGTTGGTGTTGGCATATGTGAAAAGTTTGCAGACACATCTGGGTTTTGGAGCTTTCAGAGAGCTCGAAATTATGGGTTCAAATTATCTTGTAATCCTTTGTTGAGTGCTTTGTTGAAGGATGGTGAAATTGGTTATGTTGAATAGGATACGCCAGAGCACAGTAGAATTTTCGATGTTGAATGCGTATGGTGGAAGGATTGGGAGGAGAAGTAAGGCTGATTTGTGTAAAGTTGGGAAATTGGACAAGGCAAAGGATGTTGCCAATGACACGAAGGCTTGGGGAATTTCACCAAATGTGGTTGCTTATAAGACTCTGATTGATGGGCTTTGCAAGATGGGTGGTTTGGGGAAAATGTACGAAGTTGATGCCGTTTTGACGGAGATGGTGTCGAATAATGTTCGCCCGAGTCAGGTTTATGTTTAATACTTTGATTGAGGGGTTCTGTAGTAAAGATGAGAATGCAGAAGTTGCGATGAAGGTGTTCAAGGCGATAAGGAAGCAGGGTTTGAAACGGACTGTGATTACGCATAATTCACTGATTGATTGGGGTATTACTGCAACGGGAAGCTTGATGAGGCAGGTGGTTTGCTGGATGAAGTGCTTGGCTTGGGTGTGAAGCCAAATGTTGTTACCTACAATGCCCCTTATAAATGCATTTTGTCGAGTGGTTTTAACGACATTAGAAATCAACGCTTTGCACCCAGTCTTAATATGTTGGTAGATGCCTGTTGTAAGGATGGATTGATGGAAAAAGCAAATGTGTTGCGCAGTTTAATGTTAGAGGGAGGGATTTTCCCAACACTCTGGCATTACTGCCGGATTACTGATTTGTGTAGACAGGGAAACGTTGAAATTGCCATGAAGATTTTACATGAAATGGAGGTGAAGGGCTTGGAAGTTAATCTCATAAATCAGTAACACATAATGTATGAATAGATGGATTGTGCAAAGAAGGCGAGTGAAGAAAGGCATTGCGATTCTTAGACCAGATGGCAGACGATAAAAAAGGGCCTTGTTTCCAGTAACTTGACATACAAATACTCTGATGGATGGCTAATGCAGGGAAGGAAACCTCAGGTCGGATTTGAATGTGAGAGAACAGGTGGAGAAACAATGCGCGCGAGCAAATGTAGCAGTGTATGATGTGTTGATCATAGGATATTGTGCAAAGGGCAAGCTTGAAGATGTGAATGAGCTTCTTAATGAGATGTTGGAGAAAGGGTTGATAGTCAAACTACTTACAAAATAATATGAAAGGAAATGACTGATAAAGGTTTTGTTCCTGATATAGACTGGCACCTTTATAGTCTATCTAGCTCTTAATTATCAAAATGAGAAACCGAATTGGTTTCAATCGCACCCTAATGAAGTGTATTTTCTTCTGCATCACCGGCAAAGCATAATTCAGTAAGCATCTGCACACCAGTGATCATAGTACTCTCGTCTCTTTGGTCTCACCTCTTAAATGTTATGATCCTTAGCTGAATGTTTCGCAAGCTTCCACATCATTCTTTATATATTGTGACTTCAAGCTTCTGCCAGCTCTGAGAATTCTCATGGAGAAAAGAAGACGAGGCCATGTATCTACTTGACATTCGATTGGAATTTGTAAGCCATGTTGGCTAAATTTGATTCAGTTTAATAATACTCTTTGATTGAATGTTTGAGCTGTGGACTACAGCAGAAGCCTAAATTTGATTCAGTTTAATAATACTCTTTGTTGTCTCACAAAGTTATGGGGACAATAAGTTGTAGTGCAACTCTCAAACTTCTTTCAGCTAAAAGCCTAAATCTACCAAACTATATGAAGTCAAGGCAGATGCGGTTTAGGCCAGTTGGGCAAAGCAGTGTGGCTCGCTTTCTTGCACTCAAGTTCAAATCCTCCAATTCATGGTTAATATCTTTTATTTCTAAATTTGTAGGTAAATTCTTTTTTGGGTTCTTGACCCCATTTTACGACAAAAAGGAAAAACCACCGGTCCAAGAAAAAGATTGGCAAGAGGAAAATGTAACAGTATTACTTAGAGTATACATGAACGTAGTCATATTGGTTAGAGCATATGTGTCTTCTTTATTTATTCAAATTTAAATCTTTCTCAAAACACTTTAGAGATTAGTTTAAAAGTACAATAATGTGGCAATAGACTTGAGCTCAAGTGTTTCGAAGCACCGAAGCACTTTAGCTAAAGTCCTAGGTTCGACTAGGGGAAGTAATAATTAAACCGACAACAAAACGCAGCGTTTTATTGTCTAGTCGCTCGAATCGAACCCCACAGGAGAAGCCCATCCTAATCTTCATATCTGGAGTCTTGACTTCCATTCACACGGCTTAAGAGATTCTTCATTGTCATTGAAGCTTCTTCATTTCAGAGCTTTTCTAATCCCATCTCCATTCACCATACAAATCCAAAATTAGGGTTTTTCTTTTCTCCCCAAAAGGACCTTAATAATCCCATGGATTTCCAGAAGAAGAGAATCCAACTACTGCTCTTCATAGTTGGCATCATCGTCCTCAGTATAACAGGTACACAAACACATATATACATCTAAAAATTTTCAATTTATTTTGTATTTATGTGAAAACTGATTGGGAAGAATTAAAAGTTTGAAGTATTACTTTCACCCATCTTCTGGGATTTGAAAATTTTCTTACTTGATTAGGTAAAGATCTGTTCTTTTGGTTGTTTCATTGGCTTAGGGTTTTGGGTTTAGGATCTTCGTATAATTAGGTCTCTCTTTTAGGATCTTTGTAAACCCTAAATCATTGCAAACAAACGGTATGAGTTTGAATGAAAATCCCAAAATTTTATGAACCCAGATTGTATAAGGGAAATTTTATTTAAACGTATGTAACTTATTTCTACATCTAACTTAAATTTTAGTAGTGGTGATATTTCCACCCGATGTCTTATTTCCTTACCCACCATTTAATGATAATGTTAATAACATATTTATCCTTTTAAAAGAAGACTTTTAAACCCCTATTTAATTCAGTACTAAAATTTTGAAAAAACAAAAAATAATAATAAATAATGGTGGGTGGGGTGTGATCTTTGGTGGAAGAGGTTGGGAAAGATTTGGGTTAGAATCGACAGAAAGGTTGGAGGAAGGAATGGGTGTGTACTAGACGAAGACGAGAAACTTCATTGGAGAAAAAAGAGAATTGAGTGTGAGATCTGCGGTTTTGACAAAAAAGAAGGAAGAAGAGTGGTCCCAAGTCTGGGGTCTCTGCAGGACGGCGATAGATGTGAAGGAGATGATGAATGTCTAGATCTTAGGTCTTGCATTTTCTTTCATTTTTTTATTTTTATTTATTTATTTATAATATTATTTAAAGATATATTAGAGTTATTTAAAAATATATATAATATGGCTATTTTGGGAATAATGATGGGTGAGGAAATAACATTTTTTTTTTTTAATTTTTTATGGTGGGTGGTATTATCATGTGGGTGAGAAAATAGAACACTAAGATGGGTCTAGTAGCACTCAATTTTAAATGTTGATTGTCTATTTTACCCTATTGCATAATTACTATTAAGTACAAAATAAAATTAATAATAAAACTCAAATTTATCAATAAACCCAAATACTATACTTAAACCATACAATCATTCTTTGTTTATCCTACTTTATTCTGACTAAAACCCTAAGGGTGCGTTTTTTTGGACTCGTTAACTCTCACTAGATCGAATAGGACTAGACATTAAGGTACTCTGGTGTTTGTTGCTCATATGGACTAAGTTAAGTGGGATTAAACGAGACTCGCACGGACTATCTCTTTCACTAGGAGGTCTTAGCCAATCCCCTAAAAAACCATGGGATTGCTAAGACCTTGCTGCGTCCCATTCTCTCTCTGCGTCGCATCCTCTCTCCTCTCATCTGCTCGCTTCGCTGTTGCCTACACTCGCGAACTCTCCTCTCCCTGCTTGCTTCGTCTGCCCGCTTCGCTGTTGCCTGCCTACACACGCGAACCCAATATCTCTTCGTTTGGGTTTGCATTTGGAGTCTAGGTTTCGTGATTCGAATATGGGATTTGCACTTCCAACGAAGTTGGGTTTTATGATTCGAGCGAATTTGGGATTGGATCTGGGTTTTGTGATTTGAACATGGGTTTTTGCAATTCCAGCGAATATGGGGTTTTTTATTTGTGCGAATTTGTAAAGATCTGCAAAATATTGAGATGAAGCTGTGGTTGCAGAGGCTCCACATGGGGATTATCAGAAGAACCCAATCGAGCAGACAATGATTCTGGGTTGTGAGGATAACATTTCAAGAAAAAATGGAGAAAAGGGAGAGCTTTGTTGACAGAGAAAGTGTGTTCTGGAAAATGGTAAAGGAAAAAGAAAAAAAATATTATTTTACTTATTAGTCCGACATTGGAACAAACGCTTCACTAAATTAATCCAGCTTAGTCTAGTCTAAGCCAGTCTAACTTAGTTCCTGAGCTTAGTCCAGTGCAACAAACGCACCCTAATAGTTCTCGTAGAGAAAAACAAGTTTTTTTTATTTAAGGATGGTGATTATGAAGTTTTGATTCCTCCAACCAATGTACGATTTTGAAATTTTTTTAGATAATTAAGCAGCTTGATTTTTTTCAATTTACAACTGCACACAATTGAAATACTTACGCAACTTCTCCCCAGAGCTTTTATCGTCTTTCCTTGTGCAATTTATATCCTAGTTTGTTCTTCGGTACCATGCTAATTAGGCCTCCGCCCAAAAACGTATAACATTTCTTACCTTTATAAATTGCACAGGGTAAACAAATCCTTTAGAGAGTACCATGAGACATTGAGCAAGGGCTTCCTATGAGAATAATATCAGATTCAACATATACTCTTCAGATTACCATGGAACCTAATCAAATGATTCGCTTTCAAGACACAATGCATAACCTATATTCACCTATAAATCAAACAAGGAAGGAAATATATAATGATGTTAAGAAGAATGCTTTTACGGAAGCCATTGAAGGGGTCAATTATGAGAGTTTGATGTCTATGTATGATTGTCTAAGAATCATGCTTGGAAAGATTTCAAAATATTGTCAACATCTATAGAAGTGTCAGTCTTGTTGTTAGCCATGGCCGAATTCACACCCCAATTCTCGGTGTTCATTTCCAAACGGTGTAAGGATAGAGTTAAAAATCAAATGGGTGTAAAAATAAATCCACATATTGAATTAGGTTTATGGGGATATATTAGGTATTAAATTGGGTTTAAAGAGATATTAATAGTTTAGTTAAAAATCAAATGGGTGCAAAGAGTAAGTTAGGTGTAGAAATAGGTTACATGGGTTTAAATAAAATTTCCCATTGTATAATTAGGTCTCTCTTTTAGGATCATTGTGGTGATGTGATTTGTGTATGATATTTGATAGCATGGAGTATCAAATATCAAATCACCCATTGCCACATAATGCTCTAGCTTTCGATGCTGCGGCGTATTGCCAATGTTTAGGAAATTGGGTGTCTTTCTTATTTTGATACGAATCTGTTGAGGGGAGTGGGAATTTGATTTTTCCTGTAGACCTGAGCTGATAGCTACATAACCTTACAAGGTTTGGGACTGGAGTACCTCGTTGAAACATTGCTCGGAGAAACCCAGTGGGAAAAACCCAAGTGAAGGAAAAAGTATCCCGCACCCTGCCACCCACGTTACAAATCAGTATAGAGAACTTATAAATGAAGATGAATCACTATTTTGATGTTAATGTTTTGTTGTTGTTGTTGTTGTTTAATATTACATTTTGTTCTGGACCTCTGGTTGAATGGAGATGCAAATAAAATGTTTCTATTCCTAATATTTTACTTATGTGATAGTTTAGCGTCTGGAGTTTGTGTTTGTGTTTGTTTAGGTTTTGTAAAGCATTTTGCGATTTACTAATATATGTTATGTAATGCAACATTCAGGGTTTTAGTATTTTTGTATAGAAAATGTGTATCCACTACTTATTTAGATTATTTTTGCCGTAGCCGAAAAATGTCGGCAACTGCTTGGGGAAGAGCGTGCATCTCAGAGTGGGAAGTTTACAGTCTTTGACTGCTTTGATATGAGTTCCGGAACACTAGCTTGTGCTGTGAAAGAGGGAGTGAAGCTGTATGTTAACAACATCAGAGCTGCTCATGTTGAGACGATAAAGCATAAAGCGATTGAAAGTGAATTGTCTGATGCATTGTCGCAGGGGATATCTGCTAAAGATGCAGCCAAACAAGCACAGGAAGTAGGAGCAAAGGCAGCGAAGCT